CTTCGTTGATGACGTTTATGTTGCTGCTACTCTCTCATCCTGTCCGTCGCGGGGGGAGGTGGCTGTCAAATACGAACAATCGTCGCCTACCTCGCATAACTGGTTCCAAACTTAAGCAAGCCATAAGAAACCTACAGAGTTTGTTTACGTTTGGAACCAGTTTCATACAAGATGATCAGTAGGCTGATTTGACAGCACGTCCGTCCCCCCCCCCCCCAGGTCCGTCGACGATCGCTACGCTGTCATCTCGTTCGGCGTCATTTCGATTTTCACTTGCAACGGGAACAATCTCTGCATCGGAAGGAAGCAAACAAATTTTCGTAATCGGCCGCTTGATGATACCAGAGAAGTCTTCAGGGTCACCACACGAGTCAGCTGATCCTTGCCTGGATGGACATCGACGATGCGGGCGAGAGGCCATTTCACTGGATGCTGCATTTCATCAACGACGATTACGAGACGCCCAGGCAGAATAGCATTGTTCGGCTTGCCATATTTCGTGCATCACTGCATCTTCTGCAAGTATTGCAGTCTTCAATGATGCCAAAATTGTTGGAAAGTTCGCTGTATAGAGCTTTTTGACGTTTAATCGGCGCACACTACTGTACCATTTAAAGTGCACGAGTGCGAGCAAGAGGGAAACAGATTAGTGGGAAAACAAACCGTCCATTCATCCATGTGTGCTAGATAGAGAAAGATGATTAAACGTCAAAAAGGTCTATGGCCTGGTAGTGACTCAGCATACTGGAAGGATGTCTTGTGAAATCCGGCTCTGGAACTGCGTGCATCGTTGACCCAATCAGAAAGTGCGCAGGAGTTAGGCACGCCAAATCGTTGGGATATTCCGATAGATGCACAAGAGGTCTGATATTCATCGACGCTTCGATTTGTTTCAGCAGCGTCGTCATTGCTTCGAACGAAAGTCGAGAATTTCCCAGCTGACAGTAAAGATGTTTTTTGGCAATCTTCACTGCAGCCTCCCATAACCCACCAAAGTGAGGCGCTTTTGGCGGAGACAAATGCCAATTTATTCCTTCATCGGTGCAGAAGGCCGCATGGATTTCATCAGCTTTCTTTTCTCGTTTTAGCAGACGGTAAATTTCCTCCAGGTTATTTTTCGCTCCTTAAAAATTCTTGCCGTTGTCGGAGTAGCTATCTGTTGGCCGGCCTCGACGTGACGTAAATCTGCGGAATGCTGCCAGGAAAGCTGGGGTCAACAAGTCTCCTACCAGCTCTATGTGCACTGCCTTTTTACAAAAGCAGACGAAAATGCAGACGTACGCCTTGGTTGCAGGTGCTCAATTGTGGATCGATTTGAGGTACAACGGTCCCGCAAAATCTACACCGGTGACGCTGAATGCACGGCTGGGACTGATGCAGTGAACTGGAAGCTGTCCTAGTTGCTGGGTGGCTGGAACGGGACTTGCTCGGGTGCAGCGTAAACATGCACGGATAATGCTCCTGATGAGTCGTCTCCCATTCGTTGGCCAGGATTTCTCCCGCATGGAGGCCAGTGTGAGTCGGCCGCCACCGTGAATTAGTTGTAGATGCTAAAATTTGGCAAGAAGGCTTGTATAGGGGTGAGGATTTGGTAGGAGGATAGGGTGTTTTTTTTTACATAGGGCTGCTCTAACAGGTTCAATCTCCCTTCCACTCTAATTATGCCTTCAGGGTCGAGAAAGGGGCTTAGTAAGTGAATCGAGGACTTCTTCGAAACGGTGTTGCTTTTGCGAACGTCTTTGATCTCTTCCTTGAAACCATCGGCCTGAACTTGCTTGACGAGAACCGATTGGGCAGCGGTAAGTTCGTCTCATGAAAGCAGATTACTGAGACGCGGACCAGCACTGGGGGGCTGCGTACAAATCCTTTCACGACAGTGGCGGACAAAGCGAAGGCAGTAAACGGTTACACGGATTATTGCAGTGTGCGACGAGAATCGGATGAAGTGCGGATTGATAGTAGATTCGGCTCTGGTTACTGCTACGACAAGCTTGCGACGCTCCTTTCCGTCCTCTGGATATTCATGTATGCTTTCACTTGGCCATTCCCCCTTATTCTGCAAGTCACGTGACTCTCTGTCACCGGTGAGGTGACAATTGTCACCTCGTGTGAGGTGACTCTCCGTGCAAATCAAATGGAGAGTCACCTCACACGACGTGACTATTGTCACCTCACCGGTGAGAGAGAGTCACGTGACTCGCAGAATAGGAGGGATTGCTGTTCGGGAAAGGACAGCCAGCTGGGTCCATGCTTCCACAATGCACATTCGACGAAATTTTTGGTCTCCATTCCTCGCGATCTGCAGGATTGTGTTTGCCGGCTACGTGGTTCCAGTGCGCTCTGTGGGTAGCCGATTGTATTGCGGATACACGGTTTGCCACAAATGGTTTTCAGGTGCTGGGTGAAGCCTTGAGGCATGAGGAGAGTCCCCCTTATTCTGCGAGTCACGTGACTCTCTCTCACCGGTGAGGTGACAATTGTCACCTCGTGTGAGGTGACTCTCCATGCAAATCAAATGGAGAGTCACCTCACACGAGGTGACTATTGTCACCTCACCGGTGAGAGAGAGTCACGTGACTCGCAGAATAACCTTGGCGAAGAGTTTTGCAGCTAGATCTGAGGCACAAAGTTCCAATCGGGGAGGGCTGACGCGTTTCAGTGGTGCTACTCGGGATTTCGATGCTAGTAGATGTACAGAAAGCTTCGGTAGTTGTTCGGCATACTTCTCCCATTTCTTAGCGACCGATTCTGGAACCTCGTCGTCCCAGCCAGACGATTGCAGCCACAGGAGTTGCATCAGCATTTTGCCACGGATTACGACAGGAGAAACTATTCCGAGGGGGTCGAATCCCACGTTTTCAAAACTTCAGAAAACTTACCGGATCTTGGAATAAGGTCTAAGAAGTTCAAGGCATTTAAACTAGCATCAGAAGAATATTGGAAACTTTTATAAAATCCTGCGAAGTTCAGGGAAGAACTTAAAAGAAGTTCATTCATCTTTCGTGAAATTAGAATAACATCCGGAAAACACGTAAAACATCAGGAAGGTCCAGACTTTTGGGCAAGTTATATGATGTTGAAGAATCAGATTCGATAATTTATGGGCTGCAATTTTTGGAAAATTATTAAACATCTAAGAACTAGGGGAAATGGATGTAATGACGGTCTAAATGCCCCTCATTTGGGCCCATACATAAATTCAGCAATCGATTTAATTTTCAACAGCGACCAAAAATATCCATTAGCACCGTCCCAATGAAGCGTTTATCTATATAAAATTGATAAATAGCAGATTTTTAGCGATGGACCCAATCTAAAATTCATTAGAGCCTTTTTCCAGATATAAATTAGATTGTTTTAATTTCAAAAATATTAAATAAGTACCGGAACCTTAAAGAAGTACCGCAAATTTCAGGCAAGTTCTAAGAACTCCAGGAATGTTATGAAATTTCAGAATATCTTCGAGAACCGAGGGGTGCGATACATCTCAATTTCGATTTTAAATGGTCGTAAAATTTCACACTAGCGAATCAATCTACGAAAAATCTTTTTTCATCTCTTGCATCTAAACCCATCTACTCGCATCGCTCTCCACCTTTTTGCAGGAAATCTTCAAAATCATAATCAATTGTGTTTCTATCTATTAAACGCGAGTGCATCTCACAACAGCAACGCGAAAAAATTCCTGCATCTTAGATAGAGTCGAGAACACAGGATTCTAGAAACTTCCCGTGCAAAGTCGGTTAACAAAATGAAAGCAAATCGATATTAAAGTTTCCAGTCCCTACCATAATGCGTCTGATATCATATTGTGCTTTCATTATGCAGTCAAGATTTTTTAAATCACAGCAACTTAACTTGAAGTTCTGCTGTTAATTTATTGTTTAAAATTTGATTTAAGTTCATCAGTCGTTGAACTAACGATTTTTGTTTATTTGTTTTGTTTAACACATTTTAGGTCATTCGTGACTAGCCCGAGGTGACATTTAAGCTCAAATCGTTCAGCGTGAGAAGAATTTCATAATGCTCGACTTATGACGAACACATATGTATTGCATTAGCGTGACTTATGAATGATTTTCGTCTTGCATGACGTAGCTCTTATACACCTTTCGTCATTTCATTGTACCAAGCGTTGAATGACGAATGGTCAACATAAGAGCCCCATAATATCTACGCCAATGGTTCGGTCCCAGTATACGCCGTTTTATTTTTTTGGACAACATTATTTTTCATAAGGCAAACCAATAAAATTCGTACCGATTTCTTGTGGCATAAATTCATAACTGTTTCTTATGAAATTTTAACGTTATTCTGCATCAGTGTAGATGTCCAGAAAATTTTACGGGAGATCCAAGGATATTAGGGAAACTCCGAGATCTTCAACATCAGGGAAATGTGGGAACATTTTAAAAGTAGTACCGTAAACTTCAGGACAGTTTCGGGGTGCATCAGGAACTGCGGTTCCTATACTGATTCAGAAACATGCCGCTCGCCGTATCCAGACCGGTTCACAGATTAGTCCGATAAAGCCAAGTGTCATAATTTCACTGCACACATTGAATTCATCCTCCAAATCACATTATAGATAATGAATACACCGTAAATATCGCACCCTCGTTGCATCTGTTCAATCCAATCCCCGCTTTGTAATGACACCAGTATATTGACTTGCCATTACACCCATCACCAAATTAATCTCCTCTACCTTCAAATCGCGTGACTGTGGCCGATTCGCCTAGGTCAGGGTCGGAGGAAGTGGTGATACCCCACCGGCTGTGCTGCGGCTGTAATCTATCGCGTCAAATATTTACTTTGGAAATCGATCCGCAAACAGCGTCCCGCCCTTTCCCCGTCACGTGGCGGTTGCAGTGCATTTTAGGTGTCAGGTACAGGTACCTAATAGCTGTCTGGCTGCATGCACGTGAAACAGATAGGTGTAAAAGGGTTCCACACATTCTCAAACAACCCGTGAGTCTCTAATTAGTTTTCCACCGGAAATGGACGTACACGGACGGTTGTTTCTGATTTCTTCGTTTGCCGTCAGCTTCACGCTCAGCGTTGCGTCCAAGCTGCTGCAAGAGTGGGCTGAGGCAACGCCATCACCATCTCTCGAGAACCATTTCCGGCTCGTAAGCGACGGAGCGGTGTTGGTTTTACATTTTATCTATCTCGTTAGTTCCCGTGATTCCGGACTGGGTAGGGTAGCTCCTCTGTAGAGGGGTGGAAGTGATTTTGGAATAACGTTACAATTATTTACAGTTCCACCGGCTGACTCGTTCCGGTTTCTTCTGAAAACGATTGGACCACAAATGGCGCGTGTTTATGTTTGCATTCAGTTCATGTCGTCGATCGTCGGGAGTCACTACATGTCGCTTTGTGCTTGTGACATCATCGTTGAATATGTTGATATTTTACTGGAGCAACGATTCCACATAGGGGTGGATCAGTGTTGGAGGCGTTGGATTGCGTTGGCTTCCAACTTGTTGTTGACGATTTTCAACTGCTGCAGTGTTCACTGGACGACGCCAAGTTACGGGATCTACATGAAGGTACTCTTCATAAGCTTCTGGATGGCAAAAATATGGCTCAACTTCCCCTCACTTGTGATCATCATTCGCAACAATTGGCAGCATCCTGCACTACTGTTCATCCTGACAATCGCCTTGCTAGCTCTGCTGGTAGCAATCAAGGAACTAAAATGTTTCCCACCGGATACCACGTCAGCAAACCAAACCGTCTTGCTCCCGCTGTACGAACACCTAGTTGGTGTCAAATGCCCAGAGCTACCGGTCATAGTTTCCTGTTTCTACGCTGGATCAATGAATAGCTACTTCCTCTCGTTGGAACCCAGCCTCACGGCAGCTCAGTTGGATCATCTACCAAGTGTTTTCAAACTATTCAGCAGAAATAACAATTCCCCCATTCTGCTTCTGATCGTCAAATTCTTCATCACAGCCACGGTCGTTGTATACCTGAGTGACGATTACGATCTGCTGGGATCAACCTGGAACTGCTTGTTCCTCATCAGTGCCTTCCTGTTTGATTTTGCCCTGGTGAAGGAGAATTGCACCACGCTGGTGTGTACGAACAGTGACAAACTTACTGCTGCGGCAACGATGCTGATGCACGTGGGATTTCAACTGGCAAACCTTGGTTGGATCTATCATCGACTGACTGGATTGGCTGATATAATAAAGTCACTGTTCTTGATGTTTGTGGTCACAAAAGTGATTTTCAAGTTGGTAGAAAATGGCCAAGTTATTGATTTTTGTATCAACACCCTGAAACTGGAGTGCCACTGCCAACCGCGGGAAGAAGAGAAACCACCCATTGCTGCAAAGGGAAATCTGCTAGACGACCTAGTGTGACACCCGTAGCGCATCACACAAATTATCATTACAACACCAGCTGTTGCCGGAAAACCGTATCCCGCAGCACGTCTTTATCGAACCGTGCTGTAATGAGCCCCCGGGATGACCGCGGCAATTTTCCGGATGCAGCAGCCCAATGTTAATTCACTCGTTAATAAATGGTAGAAAATATAAACACAACACACGTGTGCGAGCAGGCACGAACCCGGCAGCCGTTGGTCGTGCATTCAATTCCTGTCCCAATATTATCATTTTCGGTTCGCCCTATCATCTTCACACGTACTCACACACACCCGGTGTGCAACGGGTTAATCCTTCGACGGTCCGAAAATTGAGCTTGCTAGGTAATAACGCATTAAGGCGGGATTATCGGAAGCACTGCGATAAAACGAGATTGAAATGTGTGATTAATTTCGTGAATTAAAATAAAATATACGTTTCATTTACAACGATGGAATATGGCTTCCCCTGTAGTTAAATTCACTTCTGGGAATTTTAGGTGCATGGGAAAACATTTAGAGCTTTGTGTTTCACTCTTTGTTTAGCTTATTCTTGTGAATTACGGAAAACAATACACTAAATCAGATTTATGAACACGTCAAGGTGAATCCTGATCCAACGAACTCTACGTAGGGTTTTTGATCTAATTTCCGTCCTACTTAGCACAACCCACACTTTGCCTCTCTTTCTTGAACGGGTTTTAACAATAAATGAAATGTTTCTATCAAAAATGACTTCTGAATTTGTTCCCCTTTCCATAAGTACCGTTGAATTTGATAAAGAGCCACACATTGTTGAGATATTGTTAAAAATATAACACTACTTCGTGATTCTAAATTCGTCCTACGAGTTTCAATTCCGTCCAAACGCATTGAAACACATCATGAAGGTAGAGAAAGCGAGTTCGCTAGTGTCGTGACAGCAGCCTTTCCGTATTTCAAGGCCCACGCACATTAGATCCAGATCGGACGCGTTGCGGCAAAGTGACAGCTAAATCTATTGTCTAGCTGTCAAATTTACGTCAACGCAACGCAAACGGATCTAATGTGGGTGGTCCTTAAGAGAAGAGGTGACAATACGGGGGCAAAAATGAACCTTTTTCCTGTCGAATGTGAACCAGCTCCTGATTGGTCGATTTCATGTTTGTAAGATAGAGATAGAGATAGATAAAGATAGAGATAGAGATAGAAATAAAAGAGGAAAAAGCCAATTGTCACCTCTTCCTCTCAGATCTCAACTATCGTTAACAGAATCTCGAAATTCATTAAAAGCTTTCCGTTGGTACGATTTGCGGGTTGACTTTCACGAGGTTCGAGTTCGGAGCTTTATCTCTCTCTTTATTTCAACACGAACATAAAGCTCGAACATATCCGTTATACGGTATTCGTTTTCCGCATATAACAGATTATCATTCATTTTTGGTCGTTTGATTCAAAATACATAAGTTTGATACCAATCCGTACTACTGATTTGTGCACGGTGAAATCATTGATTACACTAATGTTTTCTGCTCGGTAGAACGGAAATGGACAATTACGACGAAGTAACACTCTACCCTACCAATTGAATTTTCCCTTCTGAATCCTTTGTTTGGACGCAGGGGTGGACACTGTCAGGATTGTTACCATGGTAACCAGCTCCCAAAACCGATTTGTTATTTTAATCAAAGCTAACTGAGTAATATTCACACTAAGAATTGATTACCGATTTCAATAATTTTTACCGAGCTTTCAACAACTGAGCTGTTCGGTAAAAAGCAGACATTTTAAAAAATTACCGTAGTTGTCAATCGATAAAACTGTTTCCGCACATCGAAGGTACGTGAGCAAATTGGCTATCATCTCTCTTGCCAGTGGTGGTGGGGGGAGATACCCCTCACCACCCCTCCCAATCAGGGGAGTTTGGTAAAATAGATGATCAACTCGATTCGTGCCTTCCTCAAAATTGACCTTTGCTCGCTTTCTACTCTCTATATACATAATTTTCACACTGTACTCTAACGGAACTATCAACTCTATACTTTCGTCTCCTCATCGATCGTATGAAATGAACACTTTAAGACTGATAGCTGACGTAAAGCATCTCCAACTATTTAAACATAGTTTAGGCATTTTAGCGAGTGAATGTATCAACCTTCGTTGGTCAGTTTTTGTACGTTTTGTTTATGTGGTACATATGGGTGAACTTAAACGCTTCCATCAGATTCAGGAAAATTATAAGAACTTTTAAGAAGTTCTGAGAAGCTCAGGTAACTCCAGAAAAAATCGTGGTTGTTCTGAGCTCTATAGATCTATTTCAAAAACCTCAGTGACGTTCAGAGATCTTTCAAAAACTTCAGAAAAGTACTCAGAACTACAGGAAAAATTGGTCGACAAAAAAAAAACGTTTCTTTCAGTCAAAATTCATGTCACAAAATTTTTCTTAATTTTCTTTTGGTAGTCCAATTCATATATTTAAAAGAAAAAAATTTCGTTTATATGGTTTGCCAAATACAAACTGCCGGCACTACCGCGTAACCCCTTCCATTAAATTTTGCCCAGTGGTCTCATCGACCTTATTCGCCGCCGAACGCCAGTTAGATTTAAACTGCTGCTCGCTTTGCATGGATTTATTAGTTTTTTTTTTTTAGATTCCGTTTGACCAAGGCCCAATACCGTTCGATAGGGCGGAGTTCTGGGCTGTTGGGAGGGTTGTGGTCTTTGGGTACCACAACAACGTTGTTCGCATCGTACCAATCGATTGCCTTTTTCCCATAGCGGCAGCTCGCTAAGTCCGGCCAGAACAGCACAGGTCTATTATGTTGCTTTAGGAATGGTAGCAGCCGCTTTTCCTGGCAGTTCTGGACGTAGATCTCTTGATTGATGGTTCCCGTAGTAATGAAAATGCCACTTTTTAGACCACACGTGCATATGGCCTGCCAGACGAGATATTTTTTCGGGAACTTCGATAGTTTGATGGTTTTGAAAATTTCAGCCACCTTCCCTTTTCCTGATGCGGTATAAAACTCCTGTCCCGGAGGCTGCTTGAAATCCGCCTTCACATAAGTTTCGTCGTCCATGACGACACAGTCGAACTTTGTGAGCAGATTCGTATACAGGTTCGGAACCGCTGCTTTGGCGACGTGTTTTGTTTGTAATCTCGGTTCGCCATCTTCACCTTCTTATCGTCGACAACCCGGCTCGTTTTTTGGCCCGCTGCACTGTAGTATGGGAGACATTGAGCTTCCCAGCGACGTCCCGGATGGAGAGGTTAGGATTCCGCTTATATTTCACCGGCACCTTCTTCGTCGTCGCTGCCACGTCCGGATTACGATTGCCACCGCTGCCAGGCTTTCTGGCGGTTATCAGACGCTCCCCGAACACTTTTAAAACATTTGTCACGGTCGGTTTGGCCACATCCAGCAATTTAGTCAACTTGGCGTGTCAGAACGTCGGATTCTCTTACTGCGCGAGCAAAATTTTGACATGCTGCTCCTCTTGCTTGGACGTCATTTTGATAACTGGAGAGCAAACGGTGAAAACTCATCATAGCAACCATTGTATATACACTCAACTTCCAAATGCAGCATTTCAGATTTTTGTTTATGCATTTTGAACAGAAATACACCAATTTGAAGTTGACCCATTTTTGCGCGTTCAAGGCTTTAGATGAAGATCAGTGAACTTCACAACAGTTTCATTAACATCAAGACAATTTCAGGGGCTTCACAAGAACTAAAAAATATTTCAAAAAACCTTAACGTAAGTTCAAAGATCCTTAGGAAAGCTCGTAAAGCTTCGAGAAAGTTTTAAAAACTTCATGGAGGTCCGGAAAATTGTGGATACAGACGGAAAACTCGAAAAACTTCAGGCAAACATAGAGAACTGCAGGACCGTTCAACTAACTTCAGAAAATTTTTAAGAACTTTACAGATGTTCCAAAGTCCAGAAAACATAAGCGATGTTACTAGTTCCATGAGCGTCAGCTCATATAGCGAATTTTAAAACTTTATGTCCATTAACGTTCCATTAGCAGCTGACAAATTGCGGGAATTTAAAGAAGATCTGAGAATTTTATGAAAATTCCAAGAATTTAAAGGAAGTTCCGAAAATTTCCGGGTACCTGGCTGACCTTCAAGCACGTCCAGAACACCATGGAAGTTTAACAGTTATGTTCGAAGTTCCGATAGCTTTAGGGTAGTTCAATAGATTTCAGGAAACTGAAGAAAGTTGGAGATGCTTAACGACAAATGTCAGATTTAAAGTGATCATTTTATACGATAGATAAGGAGATGGAAGTAAAGAAATGATAGTTCCGTTAGAGTACGGCAGTGTGAAAATTGTGTATAAAGAGTAGAAGGCGAGCAAAGGTCAATTTTGAGAAAGGCAAAAATTACTGAAGATGCCAACAATTCAGTTGAGTTTTAAAATCTTTAGGGGATTTACGAAAATTCGGGCAGTTCTGATAACGTAGTGCAGGTCCATGATTAGCTAAATTATGAAAACATCAGGTAAACGATGAGTACTTTAGGGCAGTTCCTTTAAATTCAGAAAAAATAGCACGAACCTTTTTTCCTTGATTTGTTTTCCTTCGATCTTGTTTTCCTTGCTAAACACCAATGCTACCAACGCCAGGGAGGCAGCTCCCACACCTTGACCCTACCTATCGACCCATCAACTCATGAACCGGGGACCAACGGCTTTACTTCCCTTCCGAAGGCGTGATCAGAGATTTTATGCCTCAGAACATCCCGACGGCGCCGACTGGGATTGAACCCAGGCCTGCTGGGGTGAGAGGCAATCACGCTTACCACTACACCACCGGCACCGCTGCTTCAAGAAGTTCCAAACATTAAAAATAGTCTTGAGCATAATCTGGAGAACATCAGGAAAGTTTTGAGAACTTAAGAGAAATATTCAAAGCTTCACAGAAGTTTTAAGAAATTCAAGCAACTGCTGAAAACGTGGAAAATTTAAGAGATTTTACAAGAAGTTTTATTTATTTCAGGGAAGCTATTC